GACGACCTGACAGAGACACCTCCACGCAGTGACACGCCCAGTGAAGACCCCTCCTTCCCCTTCTCGAGTAGCCCTGACTCTCCGTGTGGGAGGGGGGCGGGAGCGGGGCGGGGGTCTCTAGGATCTCCACGACTACCTCACGACGGAGAGGACAAGGAGGAGGGGGCGGGCTCTGTGCGGATACCACGAGGAGCGTCAGGGGGCATAGGGAGTCAACACCTCACCCCATCAGCCATCCTGTACCGAGCTGCCATCACACGCAAACAGGTACACGCATTCACAGTGTCTCACAGCACAAAGCACGGAGCACAGGAAGCTGACTGCTTTCTCACACAGAGGCGTGGAGTGTCATCAGAAGAGGAGGAGGGTGAAGTTGACAGTGAGGTTGAGTTGCCACGGAGACGGTGAGTAACTTGCTGTCCTTTTGTCACTGCTTTATTCTTTCACTCATTTTCTCAGCTTCGACCTCTATGTTGCTTTAACTATGAGACTTTGTGGTCATTTTAAATACTATATTTGTAGTTTATATTATATTTTATTAATATTTTGTGAAATGGCTGAATAAATGCAGCGGTATAAAGGTCACTGTACAATGTATGATCAGGTTCAACAATTGTTTTTTCCTTGTGCTCTTTGAAAATGGTATATTAAGTATACATTATGGTATAATACTATAATATAAATCAAACTGTGGATCCAGGCTGTTACCATGGCAATTAAAACACACAAAAGATGAAAATCCATGAATAAAGGAATTCTGACCCCTGCTCATCCATCTGAGAGAGGGACTTCAGCCCATTTAAACCTAAACTGCATTGATAAGGTACTCCAGGATTCTAATGTGTCAAATGTGTCTCCTCCACACTGCACAGACGTCCCACCAGTATCACTAAGTGCCAGTCGGTGTCCACGTTCAGCTCAGAGAACCTGTCTGTTTCGGATGGAGAGGAGGGTCACACCACAGACCACTCCCACAGCGGCACTCCAGACGTGGTCAGCACCAACACAGACGACAGGCTGGACGACCGCAGCGATGACCTCCTCTCCCAGGGCTCCGAGATCCCTGCCGACAACACAGATGGACTGTCAGAGCGAGAGGGCGCTATGGGAACGGCCAAAGCAGCGCTGGACCTGGGGCAGACTTCAAATGAGGTCAGTGTTTTGGGGTTGGTCATGCTGAACTGACACAGGCGAAAGGCAGTGCACTCAAAATATTCATGGGTAAAAACAGTTCACCAAAAATACAGAAAGACAATAGCTGGAGCTCATTTGGTAAAAGCTTTATCCCATTGAGCCGAAAGTTGGTGGTGCAATCGCAGGTACTGCAATGTTGACAATATGTCCTTGGGCAAGACATCTCATCTTGCATTGTTTACATCCGTTGGTGTATAAATGGGCAAGTGAGTGTGAAAGGGTTGCTTGACAATAAGGATGTTTATTGTCCATTATTTTTACAAAACCAGTAGGCTATATAAAGTTATCCAGTGACAATTTAAAAATGAATGTTGCGGTGGAATTCACTTCACCTGTGCCCTGGTACTCCGTGCATAATCATTATACTTGCAAAGAGAATGCAGATCTCCAGTTTATTTATAGAAATAATTTAATCTGTAGTGTCAGAAGTATAAACAGAAGTGGCACAATGAAATTTTATGTAAACCAAAATTAAGAACATATATTCTAAATTTAAAGACTATTTTGGTCCTGAGCCATATGTCACTCTGAACTTGAGCAGAGGTCAGAGGTTAGAGGTCAGTATGTGCCCAGCTGAGGTGTGGGACTCTGTCTCTGGCTCTGGAGATGGGACGCTTCCACTCAGTCCTAGAAGAGGAGCACATGTGCTCTGTGTGGCTTAAAGGACATTGAAAATGAAATTCATTTTCTACTATCCTTTGTATCATTACCCGTGCTGTTAGTTGTTGTCTAATGTGTCTTACTGTTGGTTTGCGAAGTCTGATGAGGAGAGACTGGAGTATTTGTTTAAATTTAATGTTTTCAAGTTGGCTGAGTTTGTGTTGAAAGACTGGGACCTCCATAAGAGTTTGATGTGTGATCTATCTGCTTATTGTTGTATGTGTCTTATAAGCCCATGCGGGCTGGGCACCAACTAAATGGTGCATGACACTAAATAAGTCAAATAAACTGAAACTTTAAAAAAAAAACTAAAGCTCATTACAAATTATTTACAAATAATTACAGAATATGTAAACAAATATGAAATTATTTCAGCTTTATGAGGGTCACAATGGGATAAATGCATTATTCATCTGGCTTAATTATTTTAACAGAAAATAAATGTCAGCATTCAACCACACTACTTTACCTACACTATAAAACGCTACACAGTTGAATGACTGTGATTGTAAATCAGTAAGGTACAGAAAGCACACAGAAAATGAACTATAAACTGCTGTATTACACCTAATAAAACAGAGCTTGACCTATTGTCATTGTTTCCATAGAGATTATGTGACGACTCTGACTGTGACAGCGCTGAATTGGACCAGTCTGGCAGCGGTGAGCCCAGCCGTCCCCCAAGTGCTGGAGCCTGGGCCTCCCCCTCCCAACCACAGGGCTACCAGACCCCCCACACCACCCCCGGGCCCCCATAAGGACCCCCATAAAGACCCCCATAGCTCTGTGCCCCCCAACAGAGACTAGAGCTGCCCCAGAGAAGAACCACAACTACACTACACCAAACAATCTGTGCAGGACTGAACTGTTGCCACGACGATTTTATGAAACACTAACTATAACAAGCCAAACGAAATTGTCTCCTCTCCTCCCTCTCCTCCTCATAGATATTTGGCAGCTTGTAACATCACATTGTGTCATTAATGGTCACTAGGGTCATTTTGCCAGAATTGTTACCATGTTATTGGATAAAGTGGAACTTTTATGTGCATCCAATGTTCCCACATGGACATTTATTGCAGTTACAGATGAGTTGGCGTTGATAGAGCGTAACATAAAACATGGTAACCGAATCTGCTGCTCGACTTTGGCAAAAAAAAACATTTCATTACCGCACGCACAAACTTTACACTTTAGTCCTTTAAAAACACTAACCCTCACGATGAAGTATCTTGAATACTTCCCACTAATGCATCAAATACTAATGAATAATAATGTAAATATTCATTCCATACCACATGACAAATATGTAACTTTATTTTATTTGTATAGTATATAAAACTAAACGGTATGCAGCCCCTGTGAACAAATGCATGACTATAAATGTTTATAATTTAAGGTTCAGATGTGTCCGTTTTATATTTTGTGAGAGTTTACACTTTTTTAAATCCTGAAAGTATTCTGTTATTTTTGATTTTGTTAATAATAAATGTCGACACTGAAAAAATATAAATATATATATGGGAATGAAATCTACACCAAGTGTCATAATGCATATTTAGATGGTCTTGGTAAGCTTCTACCTAGGAATAAAACACACATAGGTTTTTATAGAGTTTATCTGATGTAAACAGGAAACGAGGTTCATTAAAGGTTCTATATTACACAAAATTGATTCTTATGTGCTTTAAGCCATTTTATAATGCTGTTACCTCCTCAAAAATATACCTGGAGTTGTGGTGTTCCTTCACATGTTCCAGTAACCCTTTATTATTAGTCCGTCTGCATCTCCAGCGCTCAAAATTCCTAAAGATAGGCATGAAATCATGGCTGAAATCATCCAAATGATTCTAGTGAAGGTACTGTAAATGGAGTGTTTTCCGTTTGAGAGAAAAACTCAGTCTAAATGTGCAGGATTTCTGTATGTATATATGTGCGAATGAAACAAAACACAACTCCAGGTTTGTTTTTGATGAGGAAACAACATTCTAACACCGATCAGAAAACAGTGTAATATGGGCCCTTTAAAGGTACTTGGACTATAGTAAATGAACTTATGAAGGCCTGTACCTGCAGAATGCATGTCTGATCGCGGTGCAAAGGTATCAGATGTTTAAATATATGGTGCTCCACTAATGAACCAATGTTTCTTGTGGGTGAGCTTAATAAAAACACTTGAACCCTTTAAGAGGTTAGCCAAAAGGCCTGACTAGAGCACTCTGTGGTGGTTTCAGTAGAAGACTATAAGTATCCTTTGGGTTTGAATAGAAATGTTCTGTTTTTATACGGCATTGCACATTGTACCTGTAACATAGGAATTATATCGAAAAGCAAAAATACTATGAACAATAAATAATGTATTGGTTTAAAAAACAGTGTGATGTTTGTTTAAAAATCACAAGCCTTGTAATAGCTACAGTTTGTGCTGTTGCTATGTCACTCAACGACAGATGGATGAGAAATAAATGACTATTTTCAACAACTTTAAGCATGTGCACAGTGTCAGAGTGTCACTTTATTGGTTGTGTTCACATTTGTGTGAGATCTCTCAGATGGAGTACTCTCAGTACATAAGTGTCACAATACTAAACATTAAAAATATTTTAATTCAAAATATAGTTACTGTAATTTTCAACACAAAATAAGTGTCTTTAATATCACCATATGGTGTTACACTGTTAAAGATTCAATCTAAAAGGATTTTTTGTCCAGTTTATGCGATTTGTTTAAATGACTAGTTTTCAATACTATCTGGACAGTGATACTGACAACCCCAGTACTTTCACTGTTATGAACATCTCCGCCAGGGAGGAGGGAAGTAACAATAAACTAGATGTTAAGGTTCACTAAAAATTGCAATTTATTAATTGACAGATTATAAAAAAATCTCCCAAATTTGGCCATGTATAGTATTTTGAACATAAACATTTAAACAGGTGCATTTATAGGGCTGGATAATCCAAATTCTATGACATCATTGTTTTCTAACTCCATTTCATGATGCATTTGGTCTAATATACTCCGGTAATGACATTACCATGATTTACAGGAGTGAACTCCACTCATCTTAATAACAATTTTTACTTTTTAAACTCAATAAAAAAGCACTGTATAAATTTAATCTGACCCATTCAATAATCAGGACATTTCAGCATTTCACATATTTTTTTTATTTCTGCATTTCAATTCTTCAACAATTCATTTGCACCCAGATCTACAATAGTTTTGAAAACGTGCACAAAAAACGTGTTTCTTCATCCTGCAAAGAATAATAAAAAATAAAATCTGACCCAAGCAAAAACAGATAGCAGGAAACTAGTGTTATTTCTATATTTCTCATTCTAGTTTATCTTAATTTAATTCCTCAGCATAATATATTTATAAAGACCAATATGTTGAAGTTCTGCCCCGGTAGCATTCCCCAAACCCTGCAGTTAAAAAAAATATTTTCTCTATTTAAAACAAACATTTCAATGTTATTTTCATCATTATTGTGGTCTTGTAATTGCTGAAAAACAAAATGCTTCCTCTCACTCGGGACCTCCTGCTGACGCGCGGTCCGCTCAAAATGATCCAATACAACAACAACACTCAAAAGTCCTGATCAATAAAAAACAAGGTGGAAACAGGAATGACACAAAACAATTACTTTGCAGATTAGAGGTGTGACAAAAAAGTTGCTTAATTATTTCTCCTTAAAACTCCACCAAACACAAGTTAAATTGCCTTCAACATGAGATTTCTACCCGCATACAACTTCAACTGGAAAAATCATACACCTGCTAGCGCCTTCCCCCAATGCCATATTCAAAAGTACTGTTCCAAATAGGTGGCAAATATCAATGCACTCTTACTGTGTAGACGTTGTGTATTAAATAAAATAAATATTTAGTTAAAGGAAAGAACAGTCTATCAATGTTATTGTGAGTTTTTTCTTCATTTTTTACATTTTCTAAGAAAAATCTGACATAAAAAACATTATTTTCAGATTTTTCTAAAACTTTACCTATTATAAAGATCATACAGATATACAGCAAAATATGAGAACACATTAGGAAGGATATTTCTGGAAACTAAATGGAAAGTAATTTGAAAAATAAATAAATAAAATATCCATATTCTGATGCGAGAAGGATGTGATTACATGTATCCAAAGCAAAGAGAACAGTGAGTTTACTTGGTTTTTGCATTAATCGAGTGTGGGGCTTCGGTAAAAAGGAGAGGGGGGAGTCAGGTGCAGATGAGACCTCCGCGTTAGTTGGCTGCCAGTCCAGTGGCTTCTGAGGACAGCCTGAGGAACAGAAACATATTTAGAGCAGAAATACATCGACAACATTTACAACATCATTATTACAATAATAACAGTAAAGTGAAGCAGTGCACTAAATTGTATCTAGGGTCAAAAGGTTCTCTCTGTTTTACCGGGCATTGATGAGGTACTCGGCCAGGCTGATGCTGGCGTGGGAGCCCGTGATGGTGACCTGGCGATCGGTAGAGCCCTCCACTGGGTTGGCAATCTTGATCTGAGCACCCGACATCTGACGGATCTCGTTGATCTTTGCCCCTTGGCGTCCAATGATGCATCCAATGAGCTGAAAATAAACAGAAAATGTTGAGACAAGAGCCTCTGATTTATCACATTAAATAAAGGCTCCACTCTAAAAGGAGAGGTGACATACATCGTTTGGAATGGTTAGCTCATGAGAGCCCGTCTGTGCAGAGGCATCCATCCCAGCTGAAATAACACAAAGATTTCACATCAGACTTGATTATCAGGATTACAAATACATCGCATTCTGGTTGGAGCGTGAGCCTACCCTGGAAGCACTGGTTGCCGTGTGCAATGGGAAAGGGGCTCTGCTGCATGGCCAGCTGGTGAAGTTTGGTGAGCTGTTCAGACGAGCAACAAACAAACAGAAGGACTCATGAGCACAGTCGTCTTAACACCATTAGTGCATAGTATTTTGTAAATCCCTTTAAAGTGGTGTGATTATGGAAAGAATAGTGAAATGGAACGTGCTGTAGGTAATTATAGGAGATTCAACAATAGTGGTGTTTAGAATGAATGCAAAAGATAATAGAAGGTAATAGGAAATAAAGTGAAAGGAGGTGAGATAGGAGGGCATGGCTCCCCAGGACGGTAGAGCAGATATATTGGATCACTTACAGAGGGCCCTTCACTTACATCAGGCTGTGGAATGGCGTGCTGCCCTTGGACAGCGTAAGCCTACAAGGAGAGAAGAGCACTTAACCAGGCATGTCAGACCACTTCAATATCCATCAAACCCCAACCCGTACTCCACTAAAGAACAAAACCTGAAGAGGACCGGACTACAATCGGCATTTTCTAAAGGAAAAGTACTACCACTATCTGCAAAAGGTCACATTAGAAATTTTAAAAAAGGGAAAAACTGTCCTTACCTGACCACCTGCGAAGATGACAGGAGAGCCTGAGGGTTTGGGTCTGTATGGGATAGTCACACCTTTTGGTGGGGACTAAAATAAGAAACATAACATTTCATTACAACACAAGCAGCAAAAATAATTCAAGTTAATAATTTAGTCTTACAGTCTAGAAATCAAGTAGGGCTGTGCAATTAATTTAGTTTTAGTCAGGATTCAGTCATGTCTAATGGTCAATAACATGCTTGGGTCTTTTTAATCAAAAGGTCTGCAGCCAATCTTTGTCAAAGCATGTGGTTTAGAGGATACTTTAATACTGAAAGAAATGTGTCAATTATCTTCAATAAGAAAATAACGTTTAATCCAAAATTGTGATTAACAATGTTAAAATTTTTTTTTTAAAATGTTTGTTTTTTTAGGTATACTGTCCAGCCCTACCATTTAGACTTAAAATAACATTTCTCAATATCTTTTTTTTTTGTTTTATTCCTGCTCTAGCGAAAAATTAAGGTGTATTACAAGACAAATGCTATAGTTTCAGACAGAATAGTAAACTTTAAATTTTGTTGATGCCCATACCTCTAGCATAACGACACAGATCTGTTTGACACACTCGATGATGGACTGTGGGGTCCCTGCGACAGTGATGGCACGCTCTGTGGAGTTGGGCAACATGTCCCCTGCTACTTGTACCTGAGCTCCGGCCGACTGCAACACACACACAAAAACAGAAAGTTAGAAAAGTGGAACTTATGGAGGGGGTTACAGTGATGTGGATTGTCATTTCTTCTAATGGGGCCGCCAAGATATTTCATAGAACATCCAATCTTGTCTAAAAATGTTCAAATAGCAACCATAAAATACTCAGAATGAGGCTATGGAAAAACTGAATTTCACATTAGGGTTTTATCACTGCAGGAGGCCAACTACATTTAAACCTGCATTGTCCATTCTGGCGCCACTCCTAATTGGAATGATTTAATAGGAATACTGTTGTTTTTTGTGGTATCATATGCCATCTAATTGTCCCCGTAGTTATAAGATTGGGAAACAGTAAAAAGACAGTCGAAGATGAGAAAAAAATGTGGCAAAGTTTCTGCTGTTGCTAGTAATAACGTCCATAGAGATTTATTTGCCAAAATTGTACAAAAAGCAAAGAAAAGAACTGGTATACTAACACACTGCAGTTTCAGAATACTAAATATTACTAATAACTCAAGTAGTTTGCAGATACACTCTCCACTGCTTTACAATTATGTTATAGGCCAATGTCTAATACATAAATGGAACCGTATATATTGTCGCTAATTAGGTTCATATTTGTGGATTTTCTTTCTGAATGTTTATCATGAACACCCCATATACGGTTATTGTTACAGGAATACTGGCTCTTGCCCCCATTGTAGAGATGACATCACCACATACTAGAACAGTGAGCACAGACCTCTCTGATCTCCTTGATCTTGCAGCCTCCTTTCCCAATAAGAGAGCCGCACTGACTGGCCGGCACGACGAGGCGCATGGTGACGGGAGGCTTGCTGGTGGCCGTACTGTTTGACATAGAGTTGCTTATGTCCTGAAAGTACAATAAATCTCAATGTAAATTGAATTTTCTTTGCAGTTCACAATTTTATGAAAATCCAGACTTGCAAACTTTTCACACCAAGTAGTGACTGAACATTCAGATTTGAATCAAAATTACAATTTGAGATGGTTAAATTATCCTACCACAAAGGCTGCAGTTAGATACTGCACAGCAAAAAATTAAATATAACATTTTAAAAGCAAAATCTGTAAGCTGTACTTATGTTTGTATACTACTAATTGTTCTGATATGTCTTTTGATTCTTAGTTTATTAGTTCATTTCAGTCTTCTCTCATGTCAATGCTCCTGGAGTATTTACAATATCCGCACTGACCAGAAAACAACTTTTTAAACATAAATTGCCAATCAAAATATTTGTCAGAAAAATTGCAACTAGATTTTTTCCCGGAATTATTCAGCCCACCTAAAACTAGCTGGATATAAACTAGGTCTAAACCTTCAAAACACCAATCAACAATGATTACTAAAGTACCTGTGAAGTCTAAGTCGGAACTGGCACTCTAGCAGAGGACCACGAGTGCCACCACATACCAGGTGTACACTGGTGTAGGTGCTCGGTTCTTACCTCCTCTAGTTTCTCGATGATCATGGAGAAGGCTTTGAAAATGGAGGTGGTGGGCCCTGCGAGTGTTATGATCCTCTCGGGACAGTTGCCCTCTGAGATATTGATGCGAGCTCCACTCTACAGAGAAAACAGGACACCCAAAATCACTCTCACTCTGATCATGTAACAGTGAATGCCACTGAAACTCTAAACATGCAGCATTTTAAATCAAGAGAGAAGACTATGGTGGCCCCTATGATTAAATACTGTTCTCTGGCGTCCATAAACAAACTGGACAAGAAGTTGAACACTTTCATAAATTGTCAAATGTAATAGATAGGATTTCACCAAGAATATTATGGAGCTGGTCCTGCTCATCAATTATTTAAACAACTGTCAAGTAATTTTGAAACTGAATAAATGTTATGTAAACACAACATGCAAATATGCTTAGAGTGTATGTCAAAGAGCGCAACAATTAAATCAAAATGGCACAGGAAGCATTAAATTTTAAAGTTTACTTTCATTGCAGCATGATACAGAGTATTGCATCATGCATGTAAGCACCCTCTTACCTCCTCTCTCATCTTCTTCACCGACTCTCCTTTCTACAAAGAAGGAATAAACATTTTAGCATAAGGAAGACAAGAAAAAAGAAATAATTGTAAGAGAAATCAAAACATACTTTGCCAATGATGCTTCCAACCTCCTTCCCATGCATAAGAAGCCTGATAGTTAAGGTGACATTAAGTCCCCCTTCAACCAGACTGGATTCCATAGTAGACACTGTACTGGCCGACGAAATATGTCTTTGGTCACTGGTAGCTGCAACAGATCAAAAAACAAACGAGATTAAAATTAAAACAATAAACAACATGGCTGCGTGCAACTAGCCTAGTTCTGTTTACATTACGAAAAGTGCTAATAGTGTATTTATAGACTCAGGTTTTTAGCTTTATTAGTAAATAAACATCAGAAGATATCGTGATATAAAGGGCAGTACTCGTTGCGGTAATGCACGACTCACTGGCCCGAATCCATTCATTCAGCATCAGCACAATGAGCCACTGTTTCCGAGTGGCGCCGTCTATGTGCTGGAAAAGCGGGGGAAGCGACGCACGTTTCACTTTCTAATCTACAAGCAGTAATTTATAGTCAAAAACATCGTAGTGATATAATGTATTCACTTTGCAATCAGTAGGGTTATTTACGGAGCTTCGTGCATCCAGCTCCATAGCCAAATCCTATTGTGGAAAGAGCATCTCCGCTAGTCACGCAAACGAGATTTACGCCATGCGAGCTATCACAACAAGTAAACTACTAAACATCAAATCACCGCGTGTGAAGGCAGTAGGTAAACTATTTCAATCGGGAAGATAGATAGTATTACCCCATACAAAATAAGTAGATGCAGATTGGTCATTCATTTCACTTGGGGTAATTTTCCATTGAGCACGCTAGCGTTCCAGGAAATAGTCGGCTCCTGCGGCCTAGTGAGCGCACTGAAGCATTATGAGTTACCCGCGTCCTTCATTGCAAAACCGAGAGGGAAAAACTAAGCAAACGCGTCGTTTTATGCGGTGGTCTTACCTTTCGCGTCCCGTAGAGAGCGTTCGGGGGGTGGGTAGGGTGTTAGGGTAGAAGGGGAGAGGTTCGGGAGGGAGTTTAGAGAGGACCCGGGGAAGAGGGAAGAGACACCGCTGATCGCTCGGACTCCACTCTCCTCCTGCTCCAGAATCAGCACAAAAGACAAAACACGATCAACTCTGACCCCGCAGCCCCCGCCCCCTGAGCTGTGGACACGCCCCTGCCCGCCAGCCCCCACCAACCTTCACTTTACTACTTTTACTTCGACGAGTAGCTCAACTTAAAAGTGTACAACTCTGTTTGTTTTTTTTTTCTTTTTTTTTTTTTTATAGCCTATACTACATTCGTATATGCACTTCGTGAATCATTTTTAGGATTTTGCTTTTCCACTTTTTGTATGTTTTAGTTTAGACCCGTCACCAGATCAAAATAACACAAATTTATCCAAGAAAAATTGCATTCTGTGTACCCCCCCACACACCTCAAACACACACACATATTTTTTCCATGTCTGCTTAAATATGATTAATGTTTATGAAGCGCCCCACAAATGTATCTCTTTTGTAAAGCTGCGCGAAAAAGCAGCAAGATTTTAATACAACCAATAGATGACGCCATTGCGCCACAGAGTCGTCATTTTGTACAGTAAACTGCATTCCTTAAGCACATGGGCCACTGGGAGGGATGTTATTATAGCAATATTGATGTTGATGCATCATTCAGTTCTGAAGAATATAGCCTGGGTCCATGAGTAACAACAAAAAGAAAATGTAATGTAATTTACTGAGATGCACGCCCTTCTCAGGTATTGGCCATTTACACTGCCAACATCTCCAACATTATTTGGTTATTTGTGTGTCATTTGTTCCATTGGCAAGGTCAGTAATCTGCATTATTTTGTGAATCCATCATATTTATATTAACTCTAAATATGAAAGTTTGTGTGTGTGCAGTAATTGCCTTTCTTAATTGACACAGAAATTGCTGATAAATCATAAACTGCTGGTTAAAGGGAAGTCATGAAGATTTAACCTTTTGACGACCTTGAAATAATGAGCTCCATGTTTATCACTGCTCTGCATTACATAGACCATATAATTAACCACACATGACTAACCTCTTACGGCATATTGCTTTTTGTGCAGGGAATAGGCCTAATGGGCTGGGGACGGTAATTTGCTGATGTCCTTATCTCAGTTTGGGAGTGTAGTGAAGGGTCAGTAATATAAGTATGTGGATGTAAAAGAAATGAATATGGATTATTTAATTTAATTTATTGTGAAGTATGGGGCCCAAAAGCATGATATTTTCAGCTAGTATCTTAAATTCTGTGAGTAAATGATAATCAAGTTGTTATGATTGAGTCAGCGGCTGTGCCAGTTTTAGTTTCACCTCAGGGACTAGCCTCCTGCTGGTGCCCACAGTCAGGACTAAACAGAGAATCACAAACCAGTATTTCAGCTTTATGCAATGCTCAACAAGCAGGCTCAAAACTGCTCTGAGCAAGAAGGTGCAGAGTTGATTTCTGCATGTGGTTTGCATGTTCTGCCTGTGTCTACATATAGGTTTCCCTTGGGTTCTCAAAATGTCCTATACCTCCACAAACATGCTGGTCAGATGGCACACAAACTCACAGCATCTAAGGAGTATCCATATGATCTATGTTATTTCATTGTAATAATATTTAGGCCCATAACCAGACATCTCAAAGGTCCTACATCAGTTTTGGTGAGGTTGACAAGTCCCTCTTCAAGCCTTGTGTTCATATGTCTGCAGTAACTAAGCAAGAAACCAACCCTGAGCCAATGGAGGTGAATGAATCTACAGCACAACAAGACCACGCAAGGCCACAAAGGCTAGAGTTAGCATTTGTTTGGAGATTCCAGGTGACAGACAAGGATTTGAAGTCCATTTTGGACCCCTTTTCAAACCTTGTGTTGAGTTGCCTTCAGTAACCAAACAAGTTACACCAAAAACAAGGAAAGCAAAGCGTGATGGCATCAAAGCTTAAGTTTGGAGATGCCTGAATGTATAGTACAGTTTGGAGAAGTTGGAGAAGTCTGGAAAATTTCAGCAACCCAGGAACTAAAAGCAGAGCCTGAGCCAAAAGAAGTGCCACAAACTCCCAAAAAGAAGAGAAGGAAAAAACATAACTTAAGACTGCAACCTCAACAGCAGTCACAGAGCACTGAAACAAATGTGGCAAAAAATGAAAAACACCAGAAACTTTCAGTATCGAGACCTGACAAGAACCCAACTGTTGAACCAGAGCTGTCCAACATCAAACTCAGAGCCAACTATCCCTTTCACTCATCCAACTGGATTCAAGCTATTAAAAAATACTACAGTCTCACAAAATCCGGAGACAGACTTTGCTTTTGATGCCTGATGATGAAAGACATAGAGAGGGTCCCAACCACTTAAACACTAAATATACCTTCTTCTTCTTGACAAATGTATTCACAAGCAAAAACAAAAAAACAAACAAAAAATTATTTAAAAAATTAAGCTATAGATAATTTTTTATTCCATAAAATTTTTTTTATGCACCAAATGTGTATTTTTCCTGTTTTAAAATCCAATTGCTTTCCCTCATTAGACTAGCCAGGCTGGCGCCACCTAGTGCCACCGCTCAATTTAATTTCTCTCCAGCAACTAGGTCAGGAATTGGAATACACTAGACGGTCTACAAGAACCCCGAAAGTGCGAGTCCGAGCACCAGCCAATCAACGAAGAGCCATACATTCTGTGTTGGCAACGATTCCATGAGATCGAGGATTTAAAGGATGAACAAAGAGAATGTTCTATGAATTTCATCAAGGGGAAAGACGTTATTGCCCTTCTTCCTACGGGATTTGGAAAAAGCTTAATATACCAGTCAGCCCCATTAGCAGCGCATTACATACTTCACAACCAAATAGCAGAGATGGTTAAATAAAAAAGTATCCGCCTACCGTCGAGTGAATGAATTCTAATGGTCAGACGTCAGAGGTCAGAGGTCAGACGATTTCCATGAAGTGAAACCGGCTGATGAATCAGGCTATCATTAGACTGGAAAACAGTTGACAAACTACTGGATCATTGATTGCACGCTCACCTCAGTTCACTTGTTCATACACAAAATTCACATATTAGTTAAGGACATCATAAACTTTGATTCATATAAGTAAAGTAGCATTATTAGTCTGTGTACATCTCCAAACAAAAAATGCTCAGTTCTACTTTGTGATATTGTGTAGTGGAAGTTTTCAAGTTAACAGTTACCTTTCACCTTGAATTAAATAGAAATTGGCAATTCTAGGACTAAAATCAAATAAATCTAGTGAAGTTGTATGGAGTTAAAAAACACAGAGGAGCACTTCCTGTCTTAACACATGCCATTACAAGGTGTTTTCTCTGAGAAGTTAGAAGTCTGAGAAAAAAACATGCAGGGTTTGTGTGTTAAACATAACTCCAGGTATGTTTTAATGAGTAAACAACATTATATCATTGATCAGAAAATAGCGTAATATGAGTCCTTAAATGCCCCACAGAATTCTGACCTGTCCTTCACATTAACACTCATGAAAAACATTATTATAAACATTCAAAACATTTACAAAAACAACAGTACAAAAATAGCAAACCAACATGCAGCCAATACACACATATATTTATATGACAATTAAAGCAGAGTAGTGTAGCCCTAAAACCACATGTTCATGGTCTGTTTGACAAAGTCTTCTGCTTGAGCTGAGGACTCATTAATCTTGTGCACATTTGAGCACACACAACACAATTAGTCAATGTCACAGCCTGCTATTGTCCGTGCCCAATGTCGGATTCTCCTGCTTTGTTAAACCCACTGTTCTGTCTCAGCTGTAGTGGGGTATGCTCACAGCGAGGAGTAATGTTCAGACACTTTTTCACCACTAAGATAAAGGGAACATATCACCCTCTCCTCAGACCAAGTAACTTCATTTCATCTGTGACTATCCACTCTCTCCTCTTTGGTTCTTCTATTCATGGGTTTCAAGCCATGGCAACTGTCTCTGTGGTCATAGCGATTAAGCAATTCAGATTAAAATATTATATCTTTTGAATACGGAGAAAGGTCCTCACTGAATCCTCACATAAGTAATTCAAATCAGGAAGGAATTGTTGGTCTGAAATCCATGAATATAACACATATAAGTTGACATAGTTAACCTGCGGTCTAAATGGGAAGTGTTCATGTGGCACCGGCTCCATCCATTCTGGCTCCAGTTGAATTTATATTGAAAAATTGGCACCCCTTTGTCTGACTGCTGCTATGAGAGTCTCATCATTTTGGTCTTAAAATGTTCGTATTAACTTTCTTCATATAAACCTTGTATATTTATTTCTATTTGACTAGAGTCAAACTCTTTGGGTGACTCACTTCTTTATACAGTCTATGATATAGCAGGTCTGACATTTCCTCCTCCTTCTTATAAAAACATAGCCAGGCTGGTGCCACCTAGTACCTCTGCTCATTTTCATTTCTCTCCAGTGACTAGGTCACTAGCCGGTTCGGAAAACCCCCAGAAGTGCAAGTCTGGGCACCGATCAATCAGCGAAGAGCTGTGAAGCCATGACTGGGTCCCTTTTTGTGGTACAGCACAACAGTAAACAAAGTGGTCAGATGGATGTAGACGAAGCTATACAATCTGTGTTGGCAACGATTCCTGAGATCGAGGATTTAAAGCTGGAACAAAGAGAATGTTCTGTGAATTTCCTCAAGTTATTGCCCTTATTCCTATGGCATTTGGAAAAAAGCTTAATATACCAGTTAGCCCTGTTAGCGGTGCATTACATACATCATGACCAAATAGCAGCGAATGGTTACATAAAAAAAGTGTCCGCCTACCGTCGAGCGAACAAATCCTAAGGCTGCAAGGTCAGACGGTTTCCATGAAGTGAAACCAGCTGATAAATCAGGCTAATAAAAACAGCTCTTTTGATGAATATATATGGTATATGTTTACTGGCTTAAACATAACAATCTTACATTTACTTTAAATTACCTCCATGAAGACAGTTTAATGCTATACAGTGGAATATTCCAGGCAAAGCAGTAACATCTCTATGGAAACCAACAAAAAAGATACATAGTGCATCTTTAAACACTTTCAGAACACAGACTCTCAACATATGTAGTAG